AAATTTGAACCCATTCTCACAAATTTCACTAGGGTTCGTCCTTGGGCCAAACAAATACTTTTTCCAAAATTTTCATCTCAATCGGATAATAAATGCGACCTGCATTTCGTTCACAAAAATACATGGACAGATGGACTGACAGGCATAAATCGACTCAGAAAGTGATTCTATGAAAATCGTTAAAAGTAACTATGGGTCTATCTCGCTTCCTTCTCCATGTTACAAACAAATGTACAAAGACATAATACCCTTACAACTATGTGGTGTAGGGTATAAAAAAAGTAAAAAAGCAACTAAGTTCGGCCGAACTTTTAATAGCCTACACCATTTAGAACGAACTTGAAAATTTAAAAAAAAAAATCGTCGTTTGAAAAATACTAATGAAAACCGTTATGTGGGGGATATACGACAATGAAGACCTACATAAGTAATTGTTTGTCATTGGCTAGTACCCATTGCGAACTTTTAATACGAAATTTGATTCCGGCGAATAGTGTCGCTTATATCATCAAAATACTGAATATTGGGGGGTACCGTTATATAGGGGCTATACGAAGACGTTGTCTTGACTAAGTAATTTTTGTCATGGGTTGTAGAATCCATTACGAATGTCAAATACGAAATTTGAAACAATTTCAGTTAATAATATCGCTACAATCATCAAAATTCCGAATCTCGATGGTATCGTTATACGAAGGCTATAGGAAGACGTGAACCTACATGCGCAATTTTTTAACATGGATTCTAATACCCATTAAGATTTGGAAGTTCCTACGCTTACCATGGACCCAATACCATATAGTAACATTTCTTACTTATTTTCCATAACACTTTTATTATCATTCTCGTCATTCATAAAGAATTTTCCCTTTAACAACACTCAAGTGTAGATTTGCATAATCCATCAAAATCAAAAGAATTTTCTTTTGTGAAATTTTTAACATTTTTTGTAGAAGCAAAAAATGAAAAAATGAACTCCATAAAAAAATAATAATTGAAGGCAGTCAGACAACGATGATGAAAAACGTATTGAATTTGTAAAGTAATGTTTCTTGTTGTTGGCTACTTTACATTCGGGGTCCAGTAGTTGCACGCAAATATTTTTCAATTTTTTGTATGCCATGCATTATTTTTGCTTTTTCAATATTTCACAAAATCAAAAGAAAAAAATGATTTTCAACAGAAGACTCAAACAAAAGCAAGAAATATTGAACGAACCAACCAAGAAAACAAACGCAGACTGAAATAATACACAAAAGATACAACGAAAGAAAAATAGAAGAAACAGGTGAAATATTTGGAATATCTTCCGGGTGATTAAGGTGAGTGATATTCACAGGAATTCATTTTATACGCTCTCTCACACACACACACTCACACCGAGACAATGGCTGACATGAAAAGGCGACGGCATAAAAAAACGATGCAGCAAAATTATGGAAAATCGGTCATTTGCATATAACACACAGAGAAAACGCTTACCAACAGATACGGCTGCTGATATGCCTATCTGGATCAGCAAGCCACCAGTGTGCGACTACAATTGAATATTCATTATTTTTATGGTTTTTATATTTTTTTTTGAACGCTTGCTGTTGATAGTCAGGTAAGAGAGAGGAGATAACGAAAAAATAAATAGTTGTTGTTTTTTTTTTTTAATTTATAGACTGAATTCGAATTTTATTGTTAGAGGTAGTGAAATAGGTGTAGACATTTTTGTTGAATTCAAATAGATGGAATATAATTTCAAAATTTTGGAGAAAGGTGTAATACATTTGGACTTTACTAGCCAGTGACCACATCTTCATTTGCGTTTATTTTTCAAAACAATGTAAAAAAACTTTTAAAGATAAAATACTAAACCTTTTTCGGATGTAATTCATAACGTTTCATTTATAATTTATTTATAAATATCCGACAATTTTCAACTGAAAGCTTTTTAATGAATTATCTTATATTCATCTTTATTTGGATCCCAATGGATTTGACTATCAGCGTAAGAAGAGGAATTAAAACTGAATACCAAAAGATTCGGAAATTCCTATCGCCATATCGCAAACTAGAGAAAATCGATAATAAGAAGCAGTAATAGGTTTGAAGTTAACAATGGCAAAGCTCTTTTTTTTAATATTATTTGACTTCTGTATTTTTTATTCAAATTGTTCACCCTCTATGGAGAAGGTTTCGAAGAATGGCCCAATATTGTCAATTTCATATCGGACCTAACTACATATGATATAAATATTGCCACGTGCCAGGTTTGGAACACTTCCTTGAAAGATATTTGAGAATTTTTGAAAAATGTTAAAATGTGCGTGAGGTACCAAATATGCTCGACCGAAGTATTTCATTTTTTACTTCATCTAATACAGATAAAACAAGTAAGAAAATATGAGTCGGTTTTGCCGACAGATGTATACCCTCAGTCAAGGTTCGACTATTTAAATATATTTTGACTTCTGGTATGATTATTCAAATTCTCTAAAGGGTCGACAATAGTTACAAAGGAATGGGTCAATATTGACCATTTCGTGTCGGACCTGAATACATAAATATATACATATGTGTGATATAAATATTGTGACGTACCCGGTTTGGACTATATTGGCTACTTCCTCCACTTTATATGAAATATTTGATAATTTTTAGAGAATGTTGAAATGTGCATGAGGTACCAGATATGGTCGATCGAAATATTCCATTTTCATTTTTGGTTGAGAGTAATATTTTTGGTTGTAAAGAAACGCTGACTTTTTATGTAAGATAAAGGTATTGAAAATTGTGACCATTTGTGGGTGAGGTACCAGAAAGGCTTAGCAGATATATATATCATCTCCACAACAAATCTTGCCTTAGCAAAAATGTTTGTTTGTAAATTTTGAAGAGATTTGGTCTTTAAACGATTTGTCTTTCAAAATCCTGAACCCTATGTGGGGGAGGTACGAGAAGAAATGTTCCGATCTCTACCATATTTACAAAAGATCTTGTTTCGATGGAGATATTAAGATGTATCAAGGATATTAAGATGTATATGCATGGAATCGGATGTTAATTTCGCGGTTTATGAGCTTCATGGATATTCAAAATGTTGACATTTTATAGGAGGAGGTACCAGAAGGAGTGGACCGATATATTCCATCTTAACACCAGATTTTGAGTTTATAAAAATATTGGGATGTGTGAAATTTTAAGACAATCGGACACTTACATCATATTTTATAAGAGTTATAATTATTCAAAATTTTGAACCTTTATGGGGGAAGATGTTATCCATTTTTGCACCTGACCGAGAACTGAGGCAAATATTAGGATTTGCAAAGTTTGAGCCAAATCGGATTATTGCTTCTCTTTCTCTGCAGAAAATATTTTTTTTGAAAATTTCGACCTTATGTGGGGGAGGTACGAGAGGGGGTGGACCGATAAATTTTATTTTCACACCAGACCTTGGGTTAAAAAAATTATTGAGAAGTGTGAAATTTGAAGAAAATCGGACTCGTACATCACATTTTATGAGAGTTGTAATTATTCAAAATTTTGACCATTTGTGGGGGGGGTACTTGATGGAGTGGACCGATATTGTCCATTTTCGCACCTGACCTAGCACAAATGAAAATATTAGGATTCGCAAAGTTGGAGCAAAATCGGATTACCATTTCTCTTTCTGTGCAGAAAATATATTTTTAAAAATTTCGATCTTTTGTGGGGGCGGTACCAGAGGGGTGGACAAATAAATTTTATTTTCACACCAGTCGGACACTTACATCACATTTCATAAGAGTTGTAAATATTTACAATGTTGACCCTTTGTGGGGGAGGTACTTGATGGAGTGGACCGATATTGTCCATTTTCGCACCTGACCTAGCACAAATGAAAATATTAGAATTTGCAAAGTTGGAGCAAAATCGGATTATCGTTTCTCTTTCTGTGCAGAAAATATATATATTTTTATTTATTTTTTTTTTTTTTTGAAAATTTCGATCTTTTGTGGGGGAAGGTACCAGAGGGGTGGACCGATAAATTTTATTTTCACGCCAGACTTTGGGTTAATAAAATTATTGAGATTTGTGAAATTTGAGGACAATCGGACTCTTACATCACGTTTTATAAGAGTTGTAATTATTCAAAATTTTGACCCTTTGAGGGGGAGGTACTTGATGGAGTGGACCGATATTGTCCATTTTCGCACCTGACCTAGCATTGATGAAAATATTAGAATTTGCAAAGTTGGAGCAAAATCGGATTTTCGTTACTCTCTCTGTGCAGAAAATATATTTTTTAAATATTTCGATCTTTTGTGAGGGAAGGTACCAGAAGTAGTGGACCGATATTGCCCATCTCCGAATTAGATATAAGTTTGACAAAAATATTACGATGTACCAAGTTTGGATACTCCCTTCGAGACGGACTGACGGACATTGTTAGACCGACTTCAAATGCCCTGGGTCTAAAACCGTTATTTCGACACATTTTAACCGTTTCTAATGATATATGCTATCTAGCCATATGGCTGAAGGTATAATAATGTGATGATCTGGTTTTCTATCACGTCTTTAGAATCTTTTAGTATTTTTAGTAACTTTATTATTTTTAAAAAAATATTTCAATTGTAATTTTTAGTTTTCCATTGGCTTTATACTTTTTCGATTTATACGTAAAATTAATTGAATTAAAAATGAAATTATTCGAATGCGAATACGTTACATCTTATTTACATCATTACATCAAATTTTCAAAGATCTCGCCTCATCGAACCCCGTCGTTTCTAGGTTATAACATTTTTTGATTATAATCAGTCATTGTTTTACTTTTTATGTATCAATAAATTTTAAAGCTGTTTCTTATTCTATTAATCTAAATATTTTGTATTTTTAAATTATGTATATTATTTATTTTTATATTTTAAAGTCATATATTTTATTAAATATTTACTAGACCAGCTAATTGAAGGCTTGTACATTTTTTTGATACCTATATTTCCAAATTCTACTTATCATTCTAATATTTTTAAAACTTTATCACTCCAAATCTTCCAAATACTCTTTACGATTTTGGCTTATAATGCGATCATACCAATCAGCGCTATTTTCAAATTTCAGAGATCTCCCCTTGGCTGCACCATAAAATTTGCCATCATTCTCAGAATCTTCAGATATTCTCAAAGTTTCCGGAGGCAGAGACTTCTCGGCATTATTTTCCTTGGATTTCACATATTTGTCAGTCGACGATGGTCCCAAATCGGGAGCATTTAATACCTTCTCTGAATTGTTTATTTTTCTCTCATCATACTTATTGTTGTTTTTGGTTTCTGCATTGTCATTTGATTCTTCTTTTTTCTTGGGATCTTCCTTATTCCCGATAGTATTCAGAGGCAATTCAAATGGCGCCTTGGGAAATTCCGGTGGTATAAATTCATTGAATGTTGCAAAACCTATGCCGGGTGATTTCTTCTTATCATTCGCCAAGAGCGGAGTTTCACCATTAATCACTTCCAGCACAGCCGGGTTGACAATAGCCTTTTCCAATTTTTCAGGATTTAAATCAATACCATGTTCGGCTTTAATGGGTTCCACCGGCAATAGCACTGATGTTAAATTCAGCTTCTCCTTCTCATCATAACGCACTTCAGGCTGCACCGACTCCGGTGGTTTTTCCATTAGAATATTTGGTTTCTTTGTTGGCCAATTATCTGCCCATTTTTCCTGCTCTCCAGGTTCGAAATTTTCCGTCTGACTTGAATAGCCCTGATCTTTGTCGGCCATAAAATGTGTTACCGTTACGCTGCCATCCGGCTTTACATAACCATATGAGCCTTTTATGCTGCCATTGCCGAAACGTTTTTCATCTCTGAATTGAATGTTGCCAGTGACTTTGTCGTGCACCTCAAAGCCAAAAGCATAGGTGTTGGGACCTGTGTGGAACAGAGAGAGATTGGTTTAGAAACACACTCTTGTTATTAAAAGCTTAGTTTAAAGCTCAGCTTAAAGCTTACCATAAATGTTGTGACGATAATACGATGTTACCGGACGTTTTTGTTCACTGCTAGTATTTTCAGTCTCAAGATGTTCCTCATGTTTTGCTGCTGTGTTTTGGACTGCTGCATTGCATAGTATTAGGCTTATGAGAAGAAACTGCAAAGAAAAGTTTTTGGAGGTATATGAAATATAAATGTTAATAAAAAATAAAGTCGATATCACAAATGAACCGGCACATTTGGGGTTTCTGCGTGTTGTTATGAAAAAGGTATAGTTTTTTTCAAAATTATAAATTTTTATACCCTACTTTTATACCCTTTTATACCATACCATATGGCAAGAGAGGGTATATATCATTTGATGCGACCAAAACGTGCCTCATCGAAATATCGATAAGACCTGGGGTCTAAGGTTAATTTGGTCCAAATCCGATTCAGGACATTTTGAGTCGATCTAGCGTGTCCGTCCGTCCGTCTGTCTGCTGGCTGGTGCGCACGATAACCCTCGAAGGGAGTATCCGAATTTGTCCAAACTTGGTACATCGTAAAATTATTATCAAATTTAGATTAAGCTCTGAGATGGACAATATTGGTCCACTTCTTCTGGTACCATCCTAATATTGGCATCAATGCTAGGTCAGGTGCAAAAGTAGACAATATCGGTCCACTCCGTCAATTACCTCCCCCACAAATAGTCAACATTTTGAATAATTATAACTCTAATAAAATGTGATGTAAGAGTCCGATTGTCTTCAGAATACACACATCACAATATGGAATATATCGAGCTACTCCTTCTGGTACCACAATATTTCCAATATCCATGAAATACGAAATTATTTCTACTAATACAAGATCTGCTGTGAAGATGGGTTATATCGGTCCACTCCTTATGTTACCTCCCCCTCAAAGGATCATCATTTTGAATATCTATGAAGCTCATAAAACACGAAATTAACATCCGATTCCATTCAGACTTGGTGCATCTCAATATTTCTATCAACACAAGATCTGTTATAAAGATGGTAGACATCGGACCATTTCTTCTGGTACCTCTACGGTTCAGGATCGAACTCTCTTCAAATTTCACACATTTTTGGTAAATGTTCAAACATTTTTGCTAAATGGGTTTTGCAAAACCCATAATTTTTATCTGTATTAGATGGAGTATGAAATGGGACCTCGGTACCTCACCAACAAGGGATTAAAAATTTGAATAACCAAAATGCTCATATAATGCCAAAAGAAAAATATTCAATCCGTTCTTAACTTCACTTGATCAGTAAAATAAGGGACCTCGCTCAAATTTTGAAATCCCTACAATAAACAATTGGACATATTGACATATATTGCGGGGTTTTGTTTGCGGAAAAGCCGCCATATTGCACTCACTTTATTTTATTGATTCATAAATCGGGTATGAATGATTGGTATTTAAAAAAGTTCACTGTATGTTTTTATGTTACTCCAGGATACACGAACCTTTCAAAAGTAAAACAACGAGCCAGCGACGCGTACTGAATCGGCTCATATAAAAAGAATCGATTGCCCGATATAGCACAGACTTAGTCCGTTTTTTTTTAATTTATATTTTTAAGTTTATTATATATTTATAGTTTTCTATCTTGACATTTATCTGAATTTGATAAACAATGATGTTCGAAGTTCTGAGCAATACGGGTAGGATACTTCCTTAGCCTTATAGGAGTAACATGACTTTTGCAGAAAATTTTCCGAAATTTCTCATTTAGTGAGAGTTATGGCTGTTCAAAATTATAACAATTTGTGCCTTAACCAAATGGACCGTTTGGACTATGGGCTTTTTGTCCCCACCACCATACAATGGAGGATAACTTAATAAAGTTCGTCATTCGGCAGCGACACCTCGAAATATTCATCTCCAGATTTTCGCTATTTTAAAGGTTTCTGCCGCAATTTCCAACCAAAATCAGCTGAAACTTTACGTTTGGGATTTTTTTTATAAAAATATTAGCTACAGGTCCATCAATTCGTATGGTCCCCACATAACGGTACCTTCCGATGTTCTGTAGTTTGAACACAATTTCTAATCAAATTAGCTGAAAGTTAACAATTGGGGTTCTCGATAGGTCTGTTCTGTCCTTCCAAAAATATGCGTTGTGCTATTTGGGAGGGTATACCCTCCACCATAGTATGGAGGGTATATTAAGTTTGTCATTCCGTTTGTAACACCTCAATATAGACATTTTAAAAAAAGTATATGTATTCTTGATCAGCATAAAATCCTGTCGATTTAGGGATGTCCGTCCGTCTGTGGAAATTACTCTAGCTTCCGAAGGAATTAAAGTAGATTGATAAAATTTTACTCAAATATATGTTATGTCTACAGGACTTTTGGTATTGAAAATGGGTCATGTAGGTCCACGTTTTGGTATAGCCCCCATATAACGGTACCTCCTAAGATAGAAAATTGTCTGTGCAGGTCCAGGTCTTCGTATAGACCCGGTACCTCCCGATATTCGGTACTTTGTTGATTTTAGCGACATTTTTCACCAAAATTCTTTCAAATTTGGTATTTGAAGTTCGTAATGGATACTACAACCTACGGCAGAAAATTATCTGTGCAGGTCCACGTCTTCGTATATCCCCAATATAACGGTACCTCCAGGTATTCGGTATTTTGATGAATTTAGCTACATTATTCACCGAATTTGTTTATTCAAGTTTCGCATTTGAGTATTGTAATGGTTCACGAAGAAAATTGCTTATGCAGGTCCACGTCGTCGTATAGACCCTAATATAACGGCTATATTCGGTATTTTTAAGATTTTTACAGAATTTTTAACGGATTTAATTTTTTTGAAAATTGTCAAAATCGTTCCAAATGGTGGAGGTTATTCAAAGATCGGCCCGGCCGCACTTACAGCTTTTTTACTTGTTTTTATTTTAATTTAATAGGATTGATATTCTAAGTTTACATATTCTACTTTTTTATTTTTCTTTTCAGAACATAGTGTTGGAGGGTGTAAAAAGTTCTGCCAGGGCCAAACTTAATGCCCTTTTTACTTCTTGTATTTTAATAATTTTTTTTTTTTCTCCAAAGGTCAACTAAAAACCATACAATTTTTTTTTTCGAAATTATAGCCGTTTGTGGAAGAGGCACCAAAAATGGTCAATATTCTCACTAGATCTCATATATATTGAGACTCTAACTTTTCAAATGTAATTTCTTCGAACTCAAAGTAATTTTGATAAAAATATTACTATGTGCAAAATTTGGAGCAAATCGGGCGCTCCCTTCGATATTGATCACACTTGTCAACCAGCCAGACACACAGCCGAGCAACGCTAGATGAACTTTGAAATGTCGGATTTCGCCAAAAAAGGAGCGTTATTTTAATGAGTCACATTTTGAATATACTAAGGAATATATTATTAAAATGCAAATTTGAATTATTATAGGATTTTGTATAATTTAAGAAAGGGTTAGGGATTTGAATTTGGATTAAAACCCCAAATTATTTTTTTCAGCCGTTTATCAGTTAAAGATTCCAATTCGCTTATACTTTGTATTATTTTTCTTTCATTTAATTAAAAATAATAATAATAACGATAGCAAATTTGAATGATCCAACTCGATTTGTTTCTCATAGCACATAATTAATTAATTCAATACATAATTATTGACATCGCCACACCTAATATAAGGCTTCTACGCTCACTCTTGTTTTTTCAGTCATTTTTAATATTTTTTATCAAAAATTATTTTTTCTCAAACACAATCTCTATTTATTTCGGATTTTATCAATAAACCACAACATTCTCATTACAACGTTAGACACAAAAATAAATTATAAAATCCATTAATTTCACTTTCATTGTCAAACAAATTTTGCTTAAATTTACTGCTCAATGACATCACAATGTCTTCCCCAAACTAGCTGAACAAACTTACTCGCAAACCGATCGGCAAATGCTCAAAACGATTCATTATTTGAATACAACAAAATTCCGTTCTGTGTTTCGAAAATTTCCCTTTAATTTCTTTGGCTTATTCACTCGATAACGTTTGAAATTAAACTGACAGCAATGAGGGCCAAACGATAGAATTCTACCCACACGCCAGTTACGCTTATCAAGAAAGTTTTTGTAAAAGCAAACAGTAGAAAAAAACACACGCGAATACTCAATTTTTGTGTTAGCTTGTAAATTGGCTGTGGCTGCGAGCTCGGGGTGGCGTAATAACTGCCATAATTTTTCGCACATTCTATGGCCGAAAAACAAAACAAAGTAAAAGACAATAGAAAAACAGCTAACGAATGATGACCGGCCGTTTCGAAAATTAATTATGAATTCTATACGAATTATTGAGCAATGGTAATTTAAGAATTAAATGCAAATTAATCGGGGGAAGACCAAAAGAATGTAAAGTTGTTAGATTTGAGGAAGAGGCATAGCCAAGATGGTAGCGATCGATTGCGTGTTTGCTGCTTGAGTCTTTTGTTCATTCGCAAGAAAAAAACGAATACTTTACACATAGAACAATTATAATTTGTGGATAATATTACAAATTTGTTAATATTAATGTAAAACATTTTTTATTATTAGAACAGTGTTGGAATGTTTGTTTTTTTTTTTTTATTGTATGTTTTATTGCGAAATTGTTGTTTTTATAAAAACAACATTTGTTTATTACTAGAGAAAGATGGCAATGTTTACCAGTGGGTAAGGCAGGGAATACCTAGGTTTCGGAAAGAACAACAACAATAATTATATTAAACCTGACGATTTTGCAACAACAAAATACCACTGTATGCCGAACAAACATGCCAGCACTGTTATATTAATAGACAAGACACGGTCGACGAAGGGGTTTTGGCAGTTAATGTAAAATGGAAGCGTAAGAAGTGGAGAGAGATGAAAATGTTTATAAGTGCGCTTGTAAGATTTAGATTTTAGTTTCATTTAATTCTTTGGTTCCTCTTCTATTGAGCCTACAATCTCGTCGCTTGGGTAAAAAAGGTTTTGTCATAGGAGTTATTTTTAAAATAACTCCAGGGCAGAATATCGCAGACAAAAAACAAGGGAGCTGATGTGGATTGGTTGTTTTTTCCGAAACCTAGGTATTCCCTGCCTTACCCTTTGGTAAACATTACCATATTTCTCCACTAATAAACAAATGTTATTTTTATAAAAACAACAATAATGGGATTAAACCTGACAACAGGTTTAAAAAATATTTTATTATTATTATATTTATTTATTATTATTATTATTTATTACTAGCTGGCCCGGTCCGCGTTGCCGGCCCGTAGTTTTTGTTTATTATGCATATTTTTAAAAGCATAATTATTCACAGATATGACTGATGTAAGGGGTTGCGTACTGGTCGATTAAAAGTGTTTTAAAATATCTGTACCCATTTATAAGCCGTGGACTTCAATATTTAAACCGTGTGCTTCAAATGTGTGGATGTGCTATACAAATCTATTAAAAAGTATATATGAATCTTATCCCCATGTAAGGGATCAAATTAATTTTTAGTATGGTAAAAATCGTAGCAAAATTTTACAGTCAAATGAGAAGCAATTTGGAATTTACTGTATTTTGTACACCTCATAATTGAGGGCTGAATGATTTAAGAATAGGCAAAGTTAATTACTTTTTTAAACCCATTAGCACCTTAGATTGTGCATTAGAGTCCTCATAAGTCCCCCTAACCATGTCGGTCTGTTTGTCCGCCAAAAGGTGGACTTGAGGGTATACTATTGCATGGAGAAAATTCTAAAATTTGTGAATATGTTGACATTTTGTGTAAGATTTTCACCCCCCGAATACACATTTTTAGCCAAATCCTTTGAAATATGGTAAAATCAGGAGGTACCTTTATATGGGCACTACTCCGAAACATCGACCTACTTTGAAAACTTTCTTCTACCCCTTATAATCCAATATGGCAAATAGAGGCCAACTCAAAATTATAGGTATTTCACACCCATTACCGTAAGATGGGAATTTTTTTATTTTCCATTTAAATTGTAAATTGGAGACCCCATAAAGTCCATATTTTTAATCATAGTATAATTCAATGTCGATTCAACAAATATTCGGTCCCGTACTACTTTCTTATATTTGTAATTTGTTCATGTTCCCACAATTTATTTCATATAGATGTACATTCCAAATCTACGTTCCCAACCAATATTCTCTTGGGAGTTACAAATTCAATAGAATACAAAATTTTCCTTTCTGACCACACATTAGGTGTGAAAGTGGACTTGGGGATACTCCAATGTGGAGACTTTACTTAAATAATTCCTATGTGGCAATTATCTGTATGATGGTTCCCTTCCCCAGGGTAGCATAACAAAATTTTTTAGCCAAATCAATTGATGAATGTGTTCAAGACCAATATGGGCCCTACTCTGAAAATTTCAAATTTTATGCGAAGAGGTTCTGTACCCCCTTAGACACAAAGATGCCTAATAAGGGCCAAAAAATAAAAAGGGACTAAGACCCCAAAAATAGCTTGAATCATACGATGGTTATATAAATATAAAATCGGGTTGTACCCTTATCCGTGAGTTATGATCTATATCATGACCTGCAAAAGCGATTTAAGGTATCTTGAATGTTTGGGAAGAATTTCTGGGAGGATAGAAATCCTTTTCTTAATAAAAGTCCCATTCGCTCTACTATTTTGCACCTTTTATATTTGGTATTTTCCTGATTGTACTCCCAAAGAATTTTGCATTTTGAGCTCTCATTGGACGGATTATTGTCACATAAAAAAGGCATGTTCACGCTTTGAGATGAGGCCCATTAGGCTTTTTCGGTCATTTTTGATTATTTAAATGTGTTCGCATCTTCCAGCTGAACCACGATATAGGCCCTGGAGTTGAAAGGTAGATGTCAGTTTACATTCTATTTCGCACTTATTTTGGTGAAAAATTGTATAGTGAAAAATTATTCTTCATTTTGTTTACAAAAAATCAATTGAATTCAATATGATAATGCAAATTGAAAAAAAAAAATTGACAAAAAAAGAATAACAAATTGTAAAAATATTCAACTTGTTAGCCGATTTTTTACAGCAAATGTTTAAAGGTCCTTACAAAGTTTGTCAATAGAATGTACTATTACTTTAAAAATCGATTCCATTGAAAAAAAATTTTTTTTTCGATTTTTTCCCGATTTCAGAATTTGTGCAATGAGATCTCTTTTTCGTGAGTTTTTGGCGATTTTGAAAAAGTAATTATCTTTTAACTTTGGTGTGACCGCGTTTAATTATTTCGATATCCTCTATTCCGTTTCGCCACCGCATAATTCGGTACTACACTTCCATGTAACCCGCCATCAATTTCAGTTCTCAAGAAATCAAGTCAATTAAATAAATTGGTATTAATATTCGAATTCAAAAATAAAATATAAAAAACACTACAAATGTACATTAGAAAAAAGTAAGTCAAAATGGAAAAAAATCATGCAAAATAAAACATTACTATTGTACAATTCAAAAGTCAAAATGAAAATGTTAATCTATCACATTTTTACGCGATTTTTTTGGATATTATCCTTTTCGGAAAAGAGACAATTCCGAATTTGTTTGAATCGTTAAAATCTGTCCAGCGGTTCTTAAGTTATAAGCGTAGTAACTAACACAACTTCCTTTTATATATATAGATTTATTTATTTTATTTATTTATTTATTATTATTTTTTTTTTTTTGAGAAAAAAAATTGGGAATAACTCTTTCCACCACCAATAAATGGGGTGGAGTATTAATTATACCCTCAGCCATATGGATATATCATGTGATACGGCCAAAACGTGCCTCATCGAAATAACGGTTTTAAACCCTGGGTCTTTTTGGACCAAATCTGTTTCAGGACATTTGGAGTCGATCTAGCGATGTCCGTCTGTTAATTTGTCCATCTGTCTGGCTGGTGAGCACGATTTGATCCTATCTTATTATTACGTCGTAATAATATTATCAAACTTAGATCGAGTTTAGAGATGGGCAATATCGGTCTACTCTTTCTCGTAACTACCCCACAAAGGTCGAAATCCTCAAAAAAATATTTTACTGCACAGAATTTTGCTCCAACTTTGCAAATCTTAATACTTCAATCAGCGACAGGTGAGGTGCGAAAATGGACAATATCGGCCTACTCCTTCTGGTACCTCCCACACAAAACGTCAACATTTCGAATTATTATAACTTTTACAGAATGTTATGTAAGAGTCCGATTGTTTTCAAACATTACAATATTTTTATTAACCCTAGGTCTGGTATGAAGATGGAATATATTCGTCCATATATTATTAATATTTCTATTGGGGGGAGTTACCCCACCACAAAGGGTCAAATTTTTGAATATTCATGAAGCTCAACAAATGTGAAATAAACATCCGATTCCATTCAGACTTGGTACATATCAATATTTTTATAAACACAAGAAAAGTTATAAATATTCTGGAGATCGGGCCATTCTTTCTGGTACCTCCCTCACTATGGTTCAAAATTTTGAATATCCATGAAGTTCATAAAACGCTAAATTAACATTCGATTCCATTCAGACTTGGTACATCTTAATATTTCTATCAACACAAGCTATGTTATAAAGATTGTAGAGATCGGACCATTCCTTCCTCCTCCCTCCCCCACAAAGGGCTCAATTTTTTAATAACCCATACGATCATAAAATCCGAATTAACCATCAAGTTTTCTTCATATTTCACACATTCCATTATTTCTACCAACACATGACATGCTAGGAAAATTGGATATATCTGTACACTCTTTCCGATACCTCCCCCACAAACGGCCAGAATTTGGAATAGCCATGAAATTCATAAAACGTCTGTCCGTCTGTGGAAATCACTCAAGCTTCCGAACGAATTGTTTCAAAATTGGTATTTACAGTTCGTAATAGATACTACGGCTTAAGACAGAAAATGAGCCATGTAGGTCCACGTCTTCGTATAGCCCCAATTCGTATACCGACATTATTTACCGAATTTTTTTCAAATTTGGTATTTGAAGTTCGTAATGCATACTACAGCATAAAACAGAAAATGGGTCATGTAGGTCCACGTCTTCGTATAA